GGAGGGACCCTGCTCCATTGGGACATTGAAGAAGGGGGTGGTGGGCTGTTCTGGAGGAACACGAGTGTCTTCCACACCCTCCACACGCCACTGGGCTCATCCCAAGGTGGTGTGAAGGCAGCTGGCCCAGAGAAGGGAGGGTCATTCCAGTCATTCCTGGGTTGCCTGCGAGGCTATTTTATTGCCATGATTAGCCATGATTTATCATGACCCCAAGCATGACCTCTCAGACTTGTAAAGTGTGGTCCTTCCGAAGGGATCAGAGAACAGTGCAGGAGTAAATTCCAGAACCCTGTAGAAGGAAAACACTCCTTTAGGCCTCTTGGAGTTCTTTCGTATTTAACCTGGAATCAGTTCATGGACCCTGCTGTCTTTGGTAATACCTTGGTAATTTTCCTTAATTGTAACAACTATTTTCATCTTGTTTTCCTCCGATATTAGGCTGTTATTTCAACCAAGTGTGTTTTGGACTCTAACCTGAGACTATGAAGTCAGACTTTTTTTCTAACTGTGGGCTGGCCCTGGCTCGACCATCTGAAAATAAGTTGTTATTGATATATATTTGTGTAGCCATATCGGTACCCCTGTCCACATATACAAAGACTGCTGCTAAGTATCTTTCGGGCAGGTGCCTCTGGTGCAGAATTCCCCGTGGCAGTTCTGGCCTTGGACCCCGCTGACCAGCGCCGACTCCCTCCCCGCGTGCTCTGGCCAGGCCCAGCCCCTCCAAGCCCCTCTCCTCACAGGGAAAGTGGCAAAAACAAGTGTATAAATGTCCTACACAAGGCCTTGTACATAGTAGATGTTCGATAAATCCCTCTCCTCTGGGGAAGCTGGATAACAGAAATGGAAATAAACAAAGGCACCTGGCTCACTGCCTTGTGAAACAAAAAAACAGAGAAGGAGGAAAGGAGAGAAGGAAGGAAGGAGGAGGGGAAGGGAGAGAAGGTAGGGTGGGTGAATGAGTAAGGAAACATCCCAGCTTCCTGTCCTTGGGTAAGTTATTTAACGTCTGAGGCTCAGTGTTTCTATCTGTGACATGGAGACAATGACACTGACCTCGTTTAGTTGCAAGGATTAAACAAGACAATGTGCACCCAGCACCCTATTTCTAGCCGGCATCTGGTCGACTCCCCTAACTTGGACTCACTGGCACTGCACGTACGCACTCGAGATGCACAGACTGAAGGTGTCTCTTGTTTTCATTTTTAAAAGCACCAGTGAATCAATTACGATGCTATTAATAGAGCTAGATGTCTTATTAGCATTCTGTGATGTTCTTAACACTCACGTTAAGAACCGTGGGACAGGCCGGTCCCCATGAACTGGGGCAGGTTCTGGGGCTAGTTTTATTTATAGACCCCAGCAAGAGGCAAACCGAATGAGGCCGTTTCTTTGGCAAAGCTGACTCCAAAACAAGAGTCTGTAGCGGTCGGGAACTGAAACCGAGTCAAAGGCAAAAGTGAACTTGCTGCTCTGATTGCCGTGCCTGTGGGAACGCGGGGCCAGGGCAGATGAACAGGCGCTGCCTGAGCCTGAGTCCTGCCGGCAGCTGAAGCAAGACCGGTGCTGGGGGTGGGAACTCCCACAGACACATCTCCTGTCTCATTCGCTCAAATTCAGCGTGACTAATCATTTTGTCTTCCTGGTGATCCAGACAGGGTCACTCTTCCAAAGGCCACATTCATTGGCATGACTTTTTAACAGGGGCATTCTGACTTTTTAGAAAAAGGCCAAAGTCAACATCAGAAAATCCTTTTTCTGGTCTGCAATAACAATGGCCGCGATTTCTTAAATGTTACTGTGTGACAAGCACCATACTTGGTGCTTTATGCACTTTTCTTATTTATTTCTCACAATCCTGGGAGGTAGGTATTTATTCCCATTTTACAGATGAGGATAGCAAAGCTCAGATTAAGACAAACACTGCAGCGGGCTCACCTCAGCAGAAGCTCCCACAATGACCCTCCCCCTCCTCCCCACTCTGCGTTCAGTGACCTCATTTGCTGGCTTGGAATTGGTCATGATGGGAGTCTTTACACCATGGAAATTGGCAAAACGTATAAATCAGGGTCCCCCTCTTTTTTTTTTACTCACAGGGGACCTCGTTGTTAAATATTTACCGGCTACTAAGTGGGCAGTGTCAGAATTCAAATACAAGTCTCTCTCATCCTCAAGCTCACACTTTTCCCAGTTCACGTCTCCAGCAGAAAACGGGTTTTAACAGAGCAGCATCGGGCTGCAGGCGGGGGGTCCTCGGGAAGCGGGGCTTCTGGAAGCAGCTGAAACTCCACTCGCAGACCAGGTTCCCTTGTCCCTCCTCCCTGGGGCCCCACAGGAAAGCCCCGTCATATCCAAGTATTACTAGTAAACACATTTGAGTCCTTTTCCTTGTCAGTGCTAAGCTAAAGATTCAACTTAAATTACAAGGGCTGAGTAAGCTGGAGACAGGATTTATGGGGTAATAATAATGTGCCCTCATATACGGCACTTTTCATCTTCAAAGCATTTTATAGCCATTTACTAATTATTCCTGGGCTGCACTCTGTGCTGGTATAATGCTCGGTGATGGGCTGAACTAGCAAGAAGTATTTAAAAATATACAGGTGACCTTCACCATTTACAAGTGCCACTTGCTGCTGTTGCTGTCAGGGGTTAAGAGATAAAATCACACAAACTCTGGTGTTTGAATCCCTGGCGCTTGAAATATGAAGTGGTTATTGTTGCCTTGTGTTGTTGAGTTCTTCCTGAGAAAATCAACCCAGATCCCCTCAACCCTGTGGCAAGGGAGCTGAAAGCCTTTTAAAAAAATTGTATCATCTCCATCCTCACAAATCTATACTTAGTACATCACCCTTCGCTGGGAAAGAAAAAATAAGTCTCGATTTGTTTACCAGGTTGTGAATACACATGAGAAGCAGCACTGGATCTGGGGCCAGGAGCCTGGGCTGAGTCCTGACTCCGGCACTGACTGGCTGGTGGTCATGGGTAACCCAGTCCCTCGTCGCCTGATTCCTCATCTGTTGGAGCAGGAGCCACCCTACCCACCTGCTTACATCCCAGTCTGCTGCAAAGGTGTGACAGCACGTCTCAGTTGCACTGTGTCTGCTTCGCTGACGTGCAGGGGCTTCACGGATTACTGTCCAGCCTGAGCACTGGGGGACCCCTACAGGCCAGCAGGGGCAGGAGGGCAGCATTCCCAGGTCACACTGCCCACTGCTGGCTGTCATCACGGCTGAATGGCTGTTTGAAATGCAGAGGGTCCAGTCCATGTGACCTCATCCCACCCAACAATGCCAAACACCCTCTGCTGGGACTGGCACTGGAAACCCCTCCTGGGTCTGAAGCAAGCCTCGGTCAGCTCCTGGGGGAGGCTGGCCGACAATCCTAAGTGACTGTGCCATGGAGCCTTAGGGGGAACACCAGGGGAGAGGGCTGGAGCACGGCACACAGCTGCCCTGAGTCCAGGGGCACCTTCCTGCGGGCAGTCAGCTGCTCAGGGTCAGAAGGGACTCCAGAGTGGTCGGCTGGCTTAGTGGGTCATGATCACTTGCTCAAAAAAATCACCTTGGGGAGTTTTATCAAAATCCAGATGGCTAAGCTAGTGAGATTCTGATTCAACAGGCCCGCAGTGGGGACCAGAGCGGTAGTTCCTAAAAACAGCTCCCTGGGTGATTTTGATGAGCCCAGTCCATAATCCAGTCCAGCCCAGAGGAAAGGACTTACTCGAGCTCGCACAGCTGGTTAACGGCAGAGCTGGGATGTGGACACAGGCGCTGGCCTGTTCTCTGCCCTGGGAATTCCCGAGGTCTCAGGGCAGGGACAAAGTACCCGCCGGTGAAAGAACCAGAGCTGGGCAGCCCTCCAGCTCGTAGCCAAGTGGGGAGGTCTGGCCAAGCTGTTTCCAGCCTCCTGAGGACATCCCTGGGTGCTGGGAAACACAGGAAGGAGAAGCGTCCAGTAGGTGCCCAAAGCCAGCTCCCTTGCAGGCTCACATGGTAAAACTGGATCCAAGAGTCACGAGGGGAACTGAGGGACAAGTAAGAGGCCCAGTTACATCCTGTGTGTGCCCGCAGGAGGGGCCGAGGAGAAGATCTTGAAATGGGGAGGCCGGCTGGTGGCAGAGCCAGCACTCAGGTTGGCTCTGGCTTCTCTCACCTGCGGGTCCTACTTCCCTGTGTCGAAAGCCTTCAGGACGGCACCATGCTAAACCCACTGTAAATCTTGTGAAGTGGTCCAGTTGACTGTAGCCAACTTGTGTTAAGCTAAGGGAAGCTGTGTGATGGTATAAAGAGCCCTGGCTCCAATTCCCAGATTTGCTTCTAATTTGAGAGCTTCTTTAGCCCTTGGGCCTTAGTTCTCTCCTCTGTGCACTGAAGGGAGGATGGGGGTGGGGGTGGAAACAAGATAACTTCTGAGGTCCCTTCTGGCTCCAATAATCTTTAAGTCTGGAAAAGATGGAGCTTGTTCAGGGTATCTTGCCCCGCTCTGTTCCTGGCTGGTTACAGAGCTGCCAGGCCTGAGCCCAGACAGCAGATGCATACCAGTGATTAACTCGTGACACCCACCCTTTGTCCTTCGGGTATAATTCACACAGTGCTGCATAAGCCCAAAGAGCTCTCCTGTCAGCCTAGGGAGTGGGGGCAGGGAGAGAGAAGGACAGAGCCATTGGTGTGTTCACCAAACTTTAATGACTGCCTACTGGGTAAGATGCACTGGACACATGGTGCCCATATGGGAGGTGAAGGGGTGGGGTGGTGGGTGGTGGTGGTGGTGGTACAGGGGTGGGGTGGTACAGGGGTGGGGTGGTGGGTGGGGGTGGTGCTAGAACCCATTTGCTCCTGAGCCTCAGCCTTGGGCCAGGCTGGGCAAGCGGCTGAAACCCTGCAGGTTGGTCAGACTCATTCAGTAAACTCCTTTTTCCAATGGTGGACTGATCTGAATGGGAAATGTTGGGCCATAAAACACACACGCACACACACACACACGTAATATACTAGTTTCAGGGGGAAAAAAAAACCAAGGGATGTTTAATCTTAAAACTTGGAGTCTCAGAGACAAAGGCTTTGGAAGAAGGGTGTGTGCATTTCTGACGTCTTACTTTCCCTGGAAAATTACTGCATCGTGATTTATGAGTTTATTTCTTTCAACTAGGAAATATAATAAAGGAAAGAAAGAGGGAGCAACCCGGAAAGTGAGGGGCTCTAGGATTCAGGTGCCGCCAGCCAGCTCAAGTCGGGGTCTGGCGGAATCAGGGCTGTCTGGGCTGTGCGGAGCTGCAGTGTGAGCAGAGCGCTGCCATGAAGACATTCCAAGTGGCTTCCAGGAAGCGGCCGTATGTGCTGACACCATGTGGACAGAGCAGTCTGGCTGGCCACTGCTCAAGACTGGTGTTTCCTAGAGCTTTCCATTGGCAAACGCTGCCTCCTGGAACTGAGGGACAAAGGTTTTGAAATAAGCCCTGGTGGGAAAGAGGGGGAGAAAAAATTGTGGTTAGCACAAACAACTTGAAAAAAGTGCAACTCAGAGCTTTCAACCTAACTCAGAACAGTTGTTATTTATTGTTCATGTATCTTGGGTTGGATTTTCCTTCTCTGCTGATGCAAAGCCCTCTGGATTTTTCCAAAGGAGGTCCATGCAGTTCACTGCTGTGGTATCTCTCGCGGGTATTTAAAGGGCCTGTACGCAGCCCTTGCTGGCTGCCACTTCCTATTAGACATCAGCACTCAGGTCCCGCTGCCCTTTTCCAGGACAAAGACAAGGGCTGATCCAAGCTACAAGACAGAGAGCGTCCAAGTCAACCACCTGGTTGTTTCAGTGAACTGAAATGTCAGGAGGGTTGCATTTTCCGCTCAATTGGACCTTTGACGTCATATAGACAAAGAGGGTCTAATAAGGATTTCTAAATGATCCATGGTCTCCACTTATTTCCAAACACATATGCAGTCCGGCCTCCTGGAGAGAAGGCCAGGCTAGTTATGAAGAGAGCCTTCCCTGGTCAGTTGAAGACTAGGGGTGGGATCTGCGCAAGACCACTTGGACTTTCCTGTACCCGGTTTCTAATCTGTAGAAACAGGACCACATTTCACACCAGGAGATGCGCACGTGCTGAGCTCGCACTGCGCCTGGCATGTACCCAGGGTGGTGAGGTGAGCCAGACGTGGGACCTGCCACATGAGATGACAGTTTAGAGGAGGAGACAGATGCATAGGTGGCACCAAGTCAGTGGTAAGGGCATCTATGGAGGAACCGTGGGCATCACAGGCAGAGGACGCAGCAGGGGCAGAAGCTTGTTGTGAGCTGGGAACCAAAGCCCTGCTGGAACATAAAGGGGGAGTAGAAAGTGGGGGGTGCTGTAGAGGCAGGCGAGGCACTTGTGTGCCCTGGTCACCAGGCCTGCCTGCTGCCCACAGCCCACTCCCAAGCAATCATAGTCACAGTCTGTGTGTTCCACAATCTTACCTTCCTAGAATAGTGACAAGAACCAGGATGGGCCACCAAGAAGATCTGTCCCCTTCAGCACTACAGAGGCCTCATGTACCTCAAGGGGAGCATCCCAGCCTGTCGTGTTCAGAATACGGTTCTAATGAGCCTGTCTCTCCAGGCTTCCAGTAGATCAGCAGCAGCCAACGAGGAGTGGAGGGAGGAGTGGAAGAGCAAACTCAAAGGCAGGAGGCGGATTTGCCGCATCAGTGGGAGGCAGCAACACGAACCCGCCAGCCCAGCGAGGGAAGAACAGAAACTGCGCAGGAGTCACGAAGACGCAACCAGGGACCCTGCAGTGTAGGGCACAGAGCCCCGCACAACAGGCCCTGGAGTCGTCTCTGGGTCAGAGCAAAGGCAGTGACTGATGACACTGGACTGTCCTTGTACCTATCAAGTCAACTGTCACCCTCTTTCCAATTTGGCCACTTTGAAGGCTCTGGCTCTTTCTCAGTCCTAGCATCTACTGTGGCCTCTCTGCAGCATTTACATGTTGGCTCCTCTCTCCAGAAGCTCTTTCCCTGTAACTTCTGTGACATGACCAGTCATGGAAGTGTCCTACTTCTCTCTCCTCTCCCTCCACCTTCTTCCCCACTCCCAGGTGCCATCTTCCTTGGGCTCGTCCCTCCCTGCTCTCCACTCCCCTCAAGCAGAGCAAGGTCACGGTTGCTCTCAGGCCAGCAGCACCCTTAGCAGAGCACTCCCCAGTCGGGGTCTCCAGCCCTCCTTTCCCTCCCAAACTTCCAGTCCCGCATTTCCAACCACCTGGGGGACAGTCTGACCTGCATGCCACTCTGTAATTCAAATCAGTGTGTTCCAAATGACTGTTTTCATCACTACTAGGTGTTTGAAAGTGCTCCAGCCAATTTGTATTTCTGTAAGAGAACCCTCAGTTTCCTTCTCAGCTGGTTCTGCTTCTCCCTAAACCCCTGCAGTGAATTCATCCTCCCGGTTCTCTCCCCGCTCCCTGTCCCTCCATCCTCAGTGACACCTCCTGGCTTCCTATCCCATTATCTTTCTACAGCACTGCTGCAGAAGCCTGCTCTCCCCTAGACACAAGGCCAACCGCGCCTTTCTGTTGCAGTCACACTGATCCTCCTAGAGTGCGGGTCTCTGTCCCCACCCTGACCAAGACCTTCGTGTTCCCCAAACTCTCAGCCTGGCACTCAGTGACTCTCAATGTCTGAGAGAAGCTAAGAAAGCAAAGGATCCTCTCCCCAGAAAAACTACAGATAAGACCCCCTAATGCACATGTCACATGCAACCAGGGGACGTCACAGACCCCCTGAGCCCATCCACGGTCCAGGGTCTACCTGCCTGTCCCAGTCTGACCATCTGCTCCTCCTCACATGTGCCATTTCCCTTCTGGGATTTACTCACGTTCCGGCCAAATGCCCGCCCTCCCATCAAGTCTTCCCTGGTCACCATAAGGTTCTCTTCCTGCACACAGACACTCTTTGTGCTTCTCCTGGGACACTTGTTCCATGTGCACATGTCCTGCCTGCTGGGCCACGCTGCTGGCCCCTGGAAAGCGGGAGCACATCCTGCTCTCAGTGACCCCAGCCGGCTCAGCATGCTGTCCACAGAAAGCACTCAGCGAGCAGTTGTGGCTTTAATTAAAGTAACCAGTTCGCAAGAAGCAGTTACAGCATGTCCACTATAGGCTGTTTAAGAAGGCGGGAGAGAGAGTAACCCCAGACAGCTGACAGGTGTGATGTTTAGGTACTGACGAGAAAACTTCAGTCCTTTCTCAAATTTCAAACTCTGCCAATGATTAGTGAGAAAGAAAGATAAAAACCTCCTGCAGCACTACTGATCAACACAGCCCTAAGCGAACCAAACTGTCACCTTCTCTGGTACTCACCTCCTCAAAGCCCTTACCCACTGATGGTACCATGCCACAATTGTCTTTGATACACAAAGGGGGACTGTGACATGGTAGAAAGAGCCCTAGACCCAGGTGAGGCCAGGCAGGGCAAGGGAAGCCTTGGGCTCTGTTCCCCTATGGTGAGTAGGGGTGATAAGTCCACCCCGATGTGATGCTTGCAGGGGACAATGATGGGAAGGGACACTGTCAACTGTCAGCTGCCACCCAGATGTGAGAGCCATTCATTCCTCACATATGTTTCACCTGCTCTCTCCCCGGCAGCATCGAAGTGCTTCAGAGGGTCAGAGACGGGCTGCTGCCGGCCCCGCCACACAGGCCCCCCTGCATGAAGTGCGCTGCGGAGTGCGACCCGGCACCACTTCGGAGGAGGGCAGAGTGGTGCCCACTTCCCCCAGTTCCAGGTGAGGATACCAAGGGGAGAGGCTGCAGTTCATCTGCACACTGTGGGCACCCACGGGTGCCTGATGGGCACGTGGTGTTGCTGCTGCAGCCGCCGGCCCTGGGCACTGGCCTGGCGTGGGGCTGGGATTGGTCCAGGGGGGCTCTCCATGCCTCCTGTCCCTGCCAGCCCCCAGGCCCAGAGTCACAGTGGGTCCTAAAGCAAATCTCATCAGCTCGGTTTTTCCTCGGAAACTTCTAGGGGAAGGGGTTGCAATACCGCAAGCTCCTTGCACAAAAAGGTCTTGGCAAGAGGGAGCCTGCTTTGAAGGCAAGCTCTTTTCTTTTCAGAAAGTTCTAAAGTTTCCTGTTCTGTCCTGGGCTTTCCCTGCCAGGGCAAACTGCGTGCCGCCAAGGGGAAGCGTGGAGAGGGCTATTTAAAGGCATGATGCTGCCAGCTGTTTTCAGCAAGTGCTTCTCAGCTCAGATCCTCATTAAGTCAGTGAAGGGAGGGGGAGGGGGAGGAAGGGGAAAATGACAACTGGCTCCCACCCATCGATAGATTTTTTTAAAGCACTGTTTTCATTTATTTCACTTTTTATCAGAGAAAATGGAGAGCTGCCCAGAGTACAGATTGCTAATGGCACAAGATATCTGTCATCTTTTAAAAAATCTTTGACCCAAAGACAAAGTACATGGTAAGTTTTAAAAGTGTGGGTTATCGGGGTACTGAGGTCTCCTCACCTCCCCATTAGCTGGCCAAGTGGGGCCTGCAGTCAAGCTCCTCCTTGTACTCGCGCTGGAAGGGAATTTATTTTTAGACCAAATTAGAGCTCAGCATGCCTTAGGACAAAATAAAGTTCAGACCCTCTTCACTGATCTCAGTCCCTTTGCTCGGGGTTTCATAAAATCACACCTTAGTCCAATCCAAGAGTCTCAGGAGAATGAATCTTGAAGACTGGGCAGGTTCTGCATGAATTCAAGACAGGAGTGGAGTCCGGCCCGGTCTCAGCTCACAGGCGTGGCGGGGGAGGGCTGCCGACAGTCCTTGGACCAGGAGTCAGGGAACCAAAGAGCACAATGGGTCTACTTTGCTGGGCTTTGGGCCAGGGGTAAATCTCTTCCCCTCTCTGGGCTTCGGTTCCCTCACCTACAAAGCAGGGAGCTGAGCCTCTGACCCCAAGGTTGCAGGCGCAGGGTGTGCAGGGCGGGTGGTGTAGCACAGGCTCTGGAGCCAGCCAGCCGGGGCTCGAGGCCTGGCCGTGCTCCTTTCTAGCTGGATCCCAAGTGACTTCAGCTTTCATTTCTTCATCTATAAAGTGGGAATAATTGTGCCTACCTTAAAGGGTTCTTGTGAGGATTAAATGAGATGGTCCAAGTAAGCATGTGGCACAGTACCTGGCACAGTAGATGATCAACAGATGTCAACTGTTACCATGGGTACCAAGGCGGGCCTAAGTGGGAGAGACTCTGAGTCTCTGGAAACAGCCAGAAGCATGTGTGAGTGCAGAAGAGGGAAGTCCTGTGGAAAGAGAGGTCCTTGGGTCCTTGCCCTCAGCTCATCCTTCTCCCTGTGGCTTCCTGGATCGGGCCCTCCCTTCTCAATTATCATATTGAACTGGCAGCTGCAGGCACAGATATGGCCGCTGCCAGCGTTGAGCACTCCGCCAGAGTCAGGAGGACACTCTGTGTCTTCTGCAGTTCAGTCCAGG